TAGAAAAGACCACAGTGTATCTGCTATTTTTCTTATTTATTCAATTTTCAGCAATAGAAATTAGATCAGTCTTTTCTCACACAAAGCTTATGATTAGTTTATTACAATGACTGGAAAAAAAATTGGGGTGCCTGTGCTCATTGGTGAGCTAGAGCCATTTTTCAACTGACAGAGCTCAGTATCAAGGGAAATCCATCATGTTTTCAATATGCACGTGCACGAGCGTGCGCTAATGATGCCATAAATTATGCGCAGTAAGGATGCGCGATGCAAATGTGAGGAATGACCTTACACCCAACCTTTTTAAGGCAAAGTAAACTATTAAATAAGGGAGCTATCTCTTAACTGGAGAAGCCCATGGCCACTAACGGGGGTTTTGCAGGGCTCGGAAAAAAAAAAAAAAAATGAATATGCTTGCCCTGTGTCTAGATTTATTTAGTTGATAATTCTAGGTTCATGTAGTTGTCAGACAACTTGCCTGGGTCCTTGCCCATTGGGCTACTGAGAGTGAAAAGTCACTTGCCTAGCAAGAAAATTTACTTGTCCTGGATGACCAGGCGGCACTTTTTCTGAGCCCTGTTTTAGCATTGTATTAACTTGAATATATCATTTAGTAAAATGCCATACACATGTAGGCGTTTCAAGAGAAGCAGTGCTCATACATAATTTTAGCAAGGAGATCTGTCTTCAGGCCTATACATGTGTAAACTCCCAATAATTTTGTAGTAATTTAAAAACAATATTTTCTCTATGTACAGTAACTGATTGCCAGACATTCCATTTATAATTTGTTCTGAGAATGATGCTTGATGCATCAAACTGTCGTTTGAAATTTCCAGTGTTTTCGTTAAGGGCCAGGCAACTGGAAAATTGACCGACTGTGAGGACAATTTTGCCCGCCCATTTTAACCATCTAGTGGAAAGTTTTTCACATAAAGAAGTTCAGTTCAAATCGTTTTGCCCACCTGTGAAAACCAGTCGCTCTCCTGCTGAACACCTCAATGAAACCCCTGCATTTCTTTTAATCTTTCTTGTCAAATTCTTGTTAAACAAGCAACTTACTAGATGCCTCCCTCCTAAAAATAATTTATTTCTTGATTGCCATATCTGTCTCCTTGATGTTGTTTGCTACTGGTAAAGTAAAGGTAAAGTCTGCATGCGAGCCAAGTGGCCCATCAGGCCGGAGCTTATCCCGGTTTCTGTAGCAT